TATTTGATTCATAAAGCAACAGACCAACATCAGCATATTCAATATCAATAGGGCTGGGTAGATTGTTTTCATTATCACTATCAATTTGTGTATCTTCATCACTCTCTAACTCGTCTAAGTTACCTACATAATGAGGATCAGATTCAATTGTTGAGCTTTTTGAAAATGTACGGAAAGCTTTGCCAAAGTTACTGGCATTATCGGTTATGATATGGGTAATTTTAGAAGTCCTAATTTTATAAGTATCACAAATATCAGTTATTACATCATAAATATTCAAATAATTATGGCTACCTTTTATTCGCCTACAACTTAAAACATATGAGGACCGTTTATATGAAAATTCATCGATAAAATGACATGTCATTCCCATAAAGCTTTTATTATTGACACTCCATATATCTGCTGTACAACAGATGTGATTCTGTTTTTCAATTAAATTAGTCAACATGGAAACATAATTTTCATACTTAAGTTGTAATAGTTTTGTTATATTCTTATGGTTTGGAAGTAAAGTTGAATCAGTTATCCCAGTAAGTCCTTGAATGAGACGATGAAATGACGGTTTTTCACAAGTAACAATCGGTCTCATTTCTTCCACAATATAATTAAACACTAATTCAGTAATCTGAAAAACAAAAATAACTTTAATGTTTATACTTGAGTTTAAGCTTGCTTATAATTTTTATAGAAGTAGATAACCTATGAGCTATGACATGAGGAAAATGGGTAGAATAATATATGAATTGGGAAATTACTTATCACAGAGGAGAAGCTAAGTTTTAAAAGTATTTTTATTTTTTTATATCTGGTCACCATAAGTAGGTATAAAATATAATATAGGTACATATTCATCAACTTATAATATTAACAATACTAATAATAGACTTAAATTAAATAATAGACTATATTGACTTGTTAACTTGTAGTCTATAGATAAGAATAATAAATAAAAATATAGACTGATGTAACTTACTCGACATTTTGTAATACTGGTTTTAAAGAATGGCAATTGCATTTGCTTACTGGGAGTAATTAAACTTTCACCATGTTGAGTTGTTTTTTTGAATGATTTTTTACTATCCTTAATTTTGGATAGCATTGATGCATGTTTAAACTAAAAATAATATTGATTTCATTATAAAATAATCAATGATTTTAATAATATGTTATTAATAAAAACTTTAGATTTAGGTACATATTATTAGCTAACATTGATTATAATATTTACTGTAGAAATATAGAATAGGTACATTTTTTACATAGTTTTTTCTTAAATATTTCATGATGAATAATATTACATTATTAATACAATATATTATGTGATATTCAATCGACAATCATAAAAATACTAATCAATAGTTAGAAAAAAAATATTAAATCTACTTAAACTACTAAATTTAAAAAATTAATAAAATACATACCTTTATGTGACTAAGAAAATTTCCTGTAGAACCTTTTTGTCCTTGAATTATTTTTTGACATAATTGACATTGAGCAGACATTTTTTTATCTGTATCGTTATTCGTTTTAATAATTTTAAAATGTTTCCCGTCAAAAAGGTAACAATATGACGTATTGTTGATTTCAGTTGGTTCTTCCGTGTTAACTATAGTTTGATTATCGGGATCATCAGCTTCACAATCCGACTGGGTTAATTTACGTTTATTTGAACTGGTGGTTGGATGTACCAAAAACTTCTCCATTTTATTATAATATTAATAATATGTTCTAATTGTTTAATGTTTTATACTTATACTGTAATGTCTGCACTCGTTTGACTAGAGACCAAGACTACGTCACTCAGTCACTGCGATGTAATTAAATTTCGTAGCTCGTTGCACGACATCGCGTTTATTATGTTGAAGAAATCAAGAAATAATAAATGACATTAAATAATATTAGAATGCTTCGTAAAATACACGCACAAAAATATATTAATAGCATCTTACATATTTCCTAATTCCTTGTCAGACTTATCAATATTATCGTGAATATCGTGTATATAAATAAATCAATGTGAATTATATATATATATAATTTATTACTTAATAATATTCTTTATTAAATATATTATATTAATTTCAGATGAACGCATAGCGAATACGGAAAAAATAGTCTGGTTTATCTTTATTTTTCAACAAATAATATTATATTCAATGGAATTTTGTTTGGTGGACGGCGGTGGTTATAACCATTGATATATAATATCGTATACATTATTATATGTATATTATATAATATATTATGTATAATCAATGTTATAACTTATCATCCGTTTCTATTATAATTTTGAAATATTTACAAAATTCTGGGAAATAACGCCGGTCGCGAGGCGCGACATACAAGTAACTACTACGGTAATATAGGATAATGGCCATGATAGATGTCGCGGATTCTTTTTTTTGAACTAATAAAAAAAAAAAATATATAGGATATTTATATAAATGGATTAGGTAGTATATTTTATATATATTTATAACCGTGAACACAATATTGATATTTGATTATTAATAAATAACTATATGATAAGTAATATTACTTTAATAAGTATTAAATAGGAATAATTTATAGTATTTTCAGAATAACATATTTTTAGCCCAGGATGTTATTTTACGTACAAATTGTGCCTGAGACAATGAGAAAAAATATAAAACTTTTTCAAAAAAATGTAGCTAATTTTCAAAAAAAAAATTATCTTATAAATTTATCCAGATAAGTGAAACTTTTAGCTAAAATAAATACTTAGATGACTTATAATTATTCATCTCGATAAGATAAAAGATAAAAAAATAATTATCTAAATAATTTATCTAGATAAATTTATCTAGATAAGTCCTAACACTGTCAATAATATATCTGGAGGGGCAGTTGCCCCCTCTTGCCCCCCCCAGATTACGCCTATGGGTAAAACTCAATTATTACTTAATTTTAACACAACTTTGTTGACAATACATATTAATTTCGTTGTGGCTTTAAAATAGCATGATATTATTACCAAAGATTTGTTATCTACTCCAATCGTTTAGTTGCTTATAACTGAAGTCATTTGTGTGAACAAAAGAAAAATATTAGACTAACAGAACGTTTTGTAAATATTATGATTCATAGTTCATACAACATAATTGAATAGTGTTAAATGACTCAAACCATTGTAAAAACCAAAAAATACAATACATATTGTATTAACAACTTAAAAATATTTGTTCTATTCAAATATACTTAAAGGTTAATGATACTGTAAATTATGTAAAGATCGTAATTTTATTTATACTCACAATAATTAGTTACTATAACACATATTACTTGTGTTGTATTCAATTTTGCATGTTTCGTTTCTTTTCATTTGTTTTATGCTATCATTTTCATGTGCACGTAACGGTGCGTTCCACAGTTGCAGCCTTCGTCGGCGATGCTTATCAAGCATTCGTGTGCGACCGGCCAGCTGTGGAATCTTTATCAGTTCATGTTTTCAAAGATTCGTTAATGTTCAAAACTTCAAGTTACCTGTCGTCTAGTCGTGCTTTCAGTGTCACAAAGTTCTTAGTTTTTCCAGTTTTTATTGTTTGTGTGGTGACACTGAAAGTCCATTCATTTAGTTTTCTTTTGCGTGTCAGTTGTGAATTCAAATCATTCTTTTTTCTTTCGCTGTACAGTCAGCATCGTGTGTTTTCGTTCGTTTTTCATTGTTCATCAGTTTTCATGTGTTGTTTGCAGTCGTCCCAAACCACGTTGTTGTTGAATTTGTGATTAATCGTCTGGTAATTATCGTTCATTTGCAATTTCATTGCCATCACTAATTTGTTTTCCCCAGTTGTAGGGTGGTCAATATTACCAGCGATTTGTGTAGTGATTGGACGTGTTTTGGTGTACCTCGTGGCACGTGGGGACAGTAGCGTTTGCTAAAGATCCTGTCCCGGCTGCATTCAGTGTTTCATCTTGTTTTGAGTTCATCCAGCTAATCGCGCACGCGGCTGTCATTTTTTGTTGTATTAATTTATTATTACGTATCCGGTGCGCGCATTACCTGACATAGCCACATGTGAGTATTGGTCGACCAAATATTTGTGTTTCATATTACTAGGACCGACGGGTCCGTAAACAGTGTTATTATATTCATTATTATTTTACATATTATTAAGTACTATACATATTAAACTATTATATTATATATTTATTATTATTATTTATATATATTATAGCCATTCAGGCATTTGTTTCATTATATTATATTACCAGCTATTATTATTACATTATTATCTTTTTATTATTATTATATTTTTGGTTGGCAGTACAGGTGGCCTGCCTTCCTGCCGTAAAGGCACCTTAATATTATTATTATTATTAAAGCTGAGTGACGGCGACAACTTGTATAGTCTGTTCAAAATAAGAAACGCCTGCGGCGGCCAGCTACTGCGCATGGGCGTGGTTTCACTAAAAGTTCGGCGTTCGAACGATGCCACCACGGTGCGTCGGCAAGAGCGACGTAATTAGTCAATCCTAGACCACTGGCATACACTTAATTTAAATTACATTGTATACTCCTGATTGCGTCATGAGGCGATTTATTTTTCGTACGAAAGCTTGCTATTCAACCAGTTTATTTCATGTCTCCTATTTTTATTATCTTACCTTTTATTTCAATATAATTTTTTTTGCCAAATGCAATGCGTACAAACGTAAAAAATAAAAACAATTTTTTTTCTAATAATTTACTATAATAAAAAACAAAATTAATAATAAATACAAAAAATAATAATTATAATACAAAAACAAATAAAAACAAATTATTCAGAAGAATAATCAGTGTCTCTTGTAATCGTCAAAATACATGGTTCCATTTCGTCGATTATTTCATCCATGATTTCGTCAACTTTCCAAACTTTATCTTCTTCGTCGATGACATGTTTGATAAAATTTTTCCAATTTTCTGCCGTAACTCGTTCAATTGCCGAATTCAAAAGTTGGCGAACGTCGTCGATCTTGTACGTTGTATTTTCTTATTTCACGTACCCTTTTACCATCGCCCACGCTAATTCAATTGGATTGAATTCGCAATGGTACGGTGGTAATCGGAGTACGGTGTGTCCAGCATGTTTTGCAAGATTGTCAATAACGTAGGATTTTGTACGTGGTTTTAACTCTTGTACTTTAGTTAGAAGTTGAGCCTTCAACAATGGTCTATCGAAAGTGATACCTTTAGAATTAAGCCACTCCAAAATGTCACCTTTTTTTGAATTGGAAGTTGGATATTTTTCAGTTTGAACGGAATGGTACGGTGCATTGTCCATCACCACAATAGAATTTAGGTGTAGCCGAGGTAGAATAGTTACAAACCAGTCTTTAAATGTATCGCCGTTCATTTCGTCATGATAGTTGGCACTATTTTTTTTTGATCCAAAACATAATAGGCCGCCCTCGAGGAAACCCATGTCTGAACCAATATGTAGTACAATCAATCGTTGTCCCTTACCAGTCGGGTTTTTCGGGCCGGTGGTTAGGCCTTTGTTAAATGCATCCTGTTTTGATTGTATCGTTGTATCTACCCAAACACGATCTACACAATCACCGACGTTCAACCACGTCTCATCTAAGTAATATATAGATTTACCTTCGCTACGATATTTTCGGATATCGTATAAATAGTTGCGGCGCCAATTAATTAGATCGTTTCTTTCCGTTAACACACTGCATCTTTTTCTCTTTGTGAACACGAAATCTAATTTTTTTATAATATTGTATAATGTGGTACGTTTGAAGTTGGGGAGTGTTGGATCTTCGTTCACATCAAATAGTATTTTATCTATTGTCGGTAATTCACCTCTCAACCAAATTGCGTGTACCTTTTGACGTAGTCCATTGCGATCAAGATCATCGGTTTTATCAAAAAGCGATGTCTTTACTCTTTTCCTGTTGGGAGATTTCACTGTACTTGTCTTTCTGTACTCGTTGATGGTATCCTTGATTGTACGATAGCCTATACCAGTGGCTTTTGACATATTGTCATACAAATCAGTATAATTTATTTCTGGATTTTTTGACAGAGTACCTTTGTACAAATTAATGATAATAATTTTTTGGTGACTGAGTACATACTGCGAAAAAGAAAATTCAAAATATAAACTACATTGAAGACTATTATTGGTATTCGATTAGTATGTGGATTATAGGACCATTTTAGATTCTGAGCGGAGTGATGAATGTATTGATTTTACAATGATAAAAAAAAAAGCCGTAGCTACTTGAAATCCACCTTTTTTTGCTCATTCGACATAATAAATTCAAATAATATACATTTATTTACTTACTTTTCCTTTTGGATTTTTTTGTTTTGGAGAAATAGTAGAATCTTCTTTTTCGCTTTGCCCACTCATTGTAAAAAATAACGAGCTGTAATAATTGTTACGAATCTAGTACGTTGTGACAGAATGAACACAATTTCTACAATGAACAGTGAACGTTGTTATTTGAAATCTAACGGAAAGGCGCGCACAAGCGACCACCTGCGTCTGGTCAGTCGGTCCCGGTCGGTGGAGTGGGGAAAGCAGCTGGAGAATAATGGGCGTAACCTGACCGCCGGCGACGAAAACTGGTCGCCGCCGCAGGCGTTTCTTATTTTGAACTGACAGTATATACAACAAAAACATTAACAGTAAATGATACGTGCTTACAAAAAATTGATGAACTATACGAACCGGTTAAAATTATAATTAATACAATTTTTTATTAACGCTAACTATTTATACTTTAACTTAACAATTTTGTTAATAGGAATAATAATATTTTTTTTGAGTGTGCCTGCGTAGGATTCATTTCCGTAAATGTCGAAAAATATTCTTTTATACCATTTTCCTTGTCAGCTACCTATAAAATTATAATTATTAATAATAGGGTTATTTCAATTCTATATGTTATAAATTACCCGTGTCTGCGAAGGGTCGAAATCATCATCATTTGAAAACATTGAAGACATACTTGAATACTCGTATGTTGGCCGAGACGGCTGTAATATTCCAAGTTAGAGGGCTTCCGTATAATTCTAAAATAAATAAAAAAATAAGAATTTGTTTATAAATTATTAAATAATATTATATTACCTTTAATTTTTCAGTAACTTGAATTTTAAACCAACGCGTGGCAATCTGCTGAGTTGCGAATAATATTAACTCGTTTAATATACAATGTTCTGCTTTTTGTGTGTTTTCACCGTGGTTACTTGCAATAATCGCGATTATGTCATCCATAGAACATGTTTTCCCACTATGCAGAGATGAAAAATGTACTGCCATTTTCTCAATTTGATCTTGTACCATAGGTTTGATTATAACTTATTTTTCTTGACACATTTTCAAAAATAGTCCACTCCAAATGTTGAATCACCATAAGATCTTTTCGGTTAAGTAAAATTTGACATCCGGTTTCGGTTCTCGATTCAATAACTAGTACGGTTTCTCCTTTATATCCCATACTTAGGATCGAAATAGACTCAGTTTCGTGAAAAATAAACCTTTTATATTGAACAATAGTACCGAGAATATACGATAAAATTTGTCCCATCAAAGAATAAATCGTCTTAAGAAGTCCGTAAATATTTTAACGAAGCGTGATGGTGTAATTAGAAGAATTTACATATCGAATTTCTTTGTCGGATCCAGACTAACGTGTAAAAACTTACGTTCAGAAAAGTCTATCGTGAAGTTTGTCGAATCGATGAGTACGGCCGGTAGTGATGGAGGTACATAAGTAAAAGCATTATTTTTGTATAGCGCAGTGTTGTGTTGGTGATAGAACTAACCATGTTTAAAATTATTTTTAAAACTCACTAAAATTTATAAAAACGGAGCGAGCGAAAAATACGTGTACACCAGTTTAAGGCAACAGACGGACTAAACGGCTACCGACTCTTTAAGTCAGGAGTCTCTATAATAGGTGGGAACATTTTTCAATATTAATATATTTTGCTGGAATTCAAATATATAGCGACTATTAAGGGTCTACGACATTCTGGCGAAGTACGTTCTTTATTATCGATGAATTGAATATGGGATATGAATAGGATGAAATAGACAGTTCTGGATCTCCTCCCCCTTAAATTTTACATGTAAAAAGATAGCAAAAAATTATAGGCAATTCGTAGTACAGGCTCCTCCGAAATTAGCAATAATTACTCAATATAGGCAACCCGTAACACACATTGACCTAATTGAATCACAACCGCCACCTGATCCGACACGTAACCGACATATATTTTACCCCTTCCACATAAAATACATTCCCCCCCCATATTCCCCATTCGAAAAAAAAATATAATATTCTGGTGAAAATTTGTATTAACTAAATCACACACTTGACTGACATATATTTTTCCCCTTACCAATATTACCACCCTTTTTATTTAGACACACACTCACTCGCACACACACACATAATATACCTAGATTAATATACGATTATACGAATAGACACCCACCAAAGCATATGCTTTTTACATTATATCTCACCTACATACGCTTTTCACATAAATATCACCTACATATACACATATTCACGTTTATAATACATATGCATACCTACATATATACAACCTTACATATTATACAGTTTACATATCAATAAGACATAGGTATCGCACAGCATACGTTCATATAGTACACTACACGGAAAAAAAATAATTTACAAAAATATTCTGTTGAACGATATTTAGTAGTAGTAACGTATTGATATCTGAATCTACGAATTTTTTGGTTATAATTGAAGAGCTTTTTTTTTATGGTTACTTTATTAGATCTGTAAAAGTTATATGGTGGGTACAATTACATTTTTGTTAAATTAGTACTCAATGTGTAAACACAAAAAAATTGTTTTGCTAAATTTGTATGTAATCTACGTGTAACTGAGACTATTATTGTTTGGTAATGTCTACAATATGATTAGTTGTAATTAAATTGAATTACGTAAAAAAAACTAATATTTGGTAAAAATAATGGAACGTTTTGTGGACTGTACAATGGTTTATGTGGGTATTACCCATGCGGCCATGCGTATAGTAAAGATGAGAATCCACGCTGCCGCGTTTGGCGTTCATTGTATACGCACCACACAAATCGCTCTTTACGTCCTTCACTACCTAACCACGCTGTTTTTGCTGTATAGTGAAAAAACAAATTTTATACAACTGTATTTTGTACTACCTTCGGTTTGTTTTACAATTTTAAATTGATTTATAATATTATGGCCGACGCCGATGTGGCGAACATGTTAAAGGCTTGGGGGTTGGAGCAGTACATAGACGTTTTCCAAAGTAAGTACAATTCATTATAAATATGTAAGTTATAAGTGTATAACGTGAATTCGTAAGATTTGAATGAACTAATATATTATTGTATGTGTTGTTTTCGTCTCACAAACATAAAAAATAGCAAATTTTAGTTCACCAGTTACTTACTATTTTGTGTACTTAGTTAGGTAGCTTTAATAGAGTGAATTGAATTATTATAAACTTAAAAGTAAGAACATTATTTGTGTAATTTTGTGGGTTCTTACAATTTTTTAATGTTTAATTAAATTATGAGTATGTAATATATTAAAATTTAAAAAAACCCATGAGATTGCACAGGCCGCAGATAATGTTCTTACCTTTAAGTTTTATAATAGTTTAATCACTAATATTAATTTTCTGAACCTAAACATATTGAATTCTGGTAAATAATATAATGATTTGAGTGGGCCATTATTATTAAGTAATTAACTCATATTTTAATTATTCCATTTTGGTTAAGATATAGAAAATGTTGAAGAACCATTAAATGGTTGAATAACTCTGATCCCTGGGATATAGTTGAAAGTATTGGATATTCAAAACTATGACCAAGAAATGTAAATTCAACCTTAAACAGTCAGTAATATATGAATAGGTTCCAGACTTAAAAACCTGTGGTTATAAACTTGTAAGTTTGGATGTTTATTTATACAGTTATATAATATACAAACGATTTTCATCATAATTTTATAGTTACTTGAAGACTTTGAGTTTTTGTATCCTGAAAAACACAATCTTATTTGAGAACTTCCTTTATAAAGACATCTGAACATGCACAAAAGTATTTCTACAAATCTTAGAGATCCTACGCTCAAAAGCTTATTGCATGAATACTTAGATCAAGCTCAGGTATATATTTATTAATTTATACTATATATATTTTAATAATTTTATTATATTTTCAGAAAACGAAAGAATCTTCTTTAGTGGCAGTATTCATGGTTCTGACATTTTTGTTTCCCCTGTTACTATTAAAGAAAAGGGAAAGATGTGGAAGTTAGACTAAAAGTGAAATACAAGATGGTTTCATACTTCATTTAAGATCATGCAGAGTTACAAATCTACAGGAAAACAAAAATATGAACAATTAGCTTTTTACAACACTTTGATTATTATCAAGGACCAACAATGATATTGCTCAGTATTTGTTGCTTGATGATACATATTATTTTAACTCTCTACTACTGTTGACCTGTTCAAAATTATCATGTTCTTCATCACGAGTATCCAGTTAGTAAGCCAGTTTGGTATTTTATACACAAAGAGTTGCTATAAGTTAAACTGTAGGATGTGAGAATATGTGACATAATTCATTAATGAGTGATCTAATAGCTAATTTAATGTATTTTTCATAATATATTATATTTACTATCTATTTAATTTAATTACTTGTAGCAAATGTTGTATGCTTTATATGCAATATCAACAGTTCATATTTTAACTAAACATTTTCAATACAAACATTTTAATTATAACTTTACTGTTTACTTTTGTGCTGAAAATGATTGTAATCGTTCATTTCATTTTAAATTCCTTTAAAAAACACCTTAACTCTTATACTAATACTATCTATTGATTCATCTAGTACACTTGGTTAAATAGTACTCAATCACTATCTACAGGTAATCTGAATAGTAACTAGTATACTGTTTACAGTGAAGTTCACCCAGTCATCAAATACCGAATCATGATTACCAAACACAAATAAATACATTTCTAGCGATCATATTCATTCACTAAATTCTCAGAAGAGTTCAAGAAGTTATGGACGAATAAGAAATAATTGGTATAACTATTCACATTAAAGTATTTTAGAACAATTTGTTGATAAAAACGAAATATTGTGGTGATTTTTGAATATTTTAATAGTGCAATTAACATTGATAAAACTTTCTTAAATTTAGATACTGAAAGTATAAACGGTTTAAATATTTCACTAAACTTGGTACATATATACCCCCCCAAGAATATATATAATAGGACAAAGGTTAAATGTAACTCAATACTTTTCGTAGAGCAATTAATTGTACTCAACAGTGTATCAATATCGTTGTCTTAAAAATTTTTCAAATGAAAATATTTTTAGACACATTAAACATATAATGATATCGTACACTGTGAAACAATTTTGTAATTTCATACAAGGGAGCGTTTGAAAGAAAACAGGAAAACTGATTTAATGTAGCCTTACCTATATTTTTATTTTTGATGACTACGTAGGTACCCTCTTGGTAGTCATTCTGGTGTGCACAAACTAGGTGCTGTGTATATTTCAATACCTTGTTTACCACCTCATATACAGTCTACTCTAAAAACAATTTTCTTAGCACTTTTATTTCATTCAACGGACAGACAAAAATTTGGTAACTATTATTTTCAAACCTCTTGATGTGAATTAAACTTTAGCAGAACAGGTATAGATTTGAAATGACAATTTGAATTGTTAATATTAAGTTTGAATTAGGTCTTATCTTGGGAGATAATCTTGGTATACACAGTATTACAGGCTTTGTGGAAAGTTTTACTAACTATCCATGTCGAATGTGCAAGGTTCATAAGAATAATGAAAAACAATGTTATGTAGATGAAACACTGTTAAGGGTAGTAGATGATTAAATTTGATTTGATGAAATAATGTGAGTAGTAGTGGTATTTCAGGAATTTGTGTTTGGAATGATGTTAGAGATTTAAAATGTTTGATCATGTTGGTGTTGATATGATGCATGATCTATTAGAAGGTGTGATAAGTATGATTTATCATTCTTAATATCCTACTATGTATTGGAATAAAATTATTTTCCTTAGAAGTTCTAAATAATCGAATAATAAGCTTTGATTATGGCCAGATAAAGGAAGTAAAACCTGTGTATTAAATATGGATCATATTCGTAAGAACACAATCAGGCTCTCTGCTTCAGAATGATGTCATTAGTTAGGTATTTGGTTACTCGTAGGAGATTTTGTTCCTCAGAATGAACCAGTATGGTATCTCTATATATCACTAAGAAAATTTTGATATACTTACTTCACATCATTCCAAAAAGAATGTTCTAAATTACTACAAACACTTGTTGCTGAACATAACGAGTTATACCTTAGATTGAGAAAGAACAATCTAAACCTAAATATCATTACTTGTTGCATTACCCTACTATGATGTTGAAATTTGGCCTTTGATAAATTTATGGTCAATGCGCTTTGAGGCTAACATCGAATATCAAAAATTGCGGCAAATACTTCAAGTAATAGGCGTAACATTTGCAAGACACTAGCAATAAAACATCAATTACAACTTAATCATTTATTTTTAAAAGGTACTCTAGGTAGAAATATAGAATTCAGTCCTCCTCAATCAGTGGTTGACATTGACAGAATTATAAAAATAAAATTGTTTACTAAAATTGAAGTGTCTGATTCATTATGAAATATACATGGATTAATATTAAAGGTACTCGATATCAACCTAAATGGTTTTGACTTAAATATACATGAAATAGAGCTACCTGTTTTCTTAATTAATGACATTTTGTTGATAATAATGATCAAGTAGTATTTTTTCTAACTTAATACTATCATGTTCAATGAACATTTTTGCTATGAGGTAGAGGTAGACTACCAAAATTATTTGTTTCATATGATTCTTTGTTGAATTCTATACCAAATAATATAAATATTTTATCAAGTGGAAAAGATATATAACAGTTAGAGGGTCTTTAAAAAATTACTTTATTGTGTAATTTTGTACTGTTTTTATTACTATTATTAAGTTATTTATTATTATTATGTTATATATGTATACCTACATATTACATAAATATAGATATAGGTAATGATTATTAATTTGTAATTATGAATGAATTGCTTTTTAAATAAATGCTTATTATATTATTAAACTAAAATGTGTTGTTACTTATTTTTGGTTACCACACTTACAAAAATATGTTACGTTAACAAAATATCCATACATCAAACTAAAAATAGCCGTATATACTAATGTTTATATAGGTTTACCAAAATTGTTATCTATACATATATTTTGGTACTGGCAACAGTGGCAACATGGATCTTTGAAACCATAACCAAATATTCTTGCTGTACTAATTAAATAGCTGCTGTGGTAAGTACCTACTGTTATAATGGGGATAATCTAATCATTGTTAGACAAACATTTATTTTGGTAATGATAACATATCAGCTTCACAAAAATTTTATTTATAAATACATTTAATCAGTAGCTGCAACTAATAATAAATGTACCTACTACTTCGTTATTCTGTTGTTACAATAGAAACCATTTACATAAAATAAACTGTAACAATTACAAAGGTTGGTGGTCATATATACAACCAAAAAATGGGTAGTACCAATTGTTCATCGATTATCACAAATAATTATTTTTTTCCGTGCGGAGCATCGAGGTGCTATTAGCAAGTCAAGTCGACGGGGCTTACTCCGAGTTCTGTTGTACGAGGTTCACACCCGGCGTTCAGGCACTCGCAACTGCCTTGTCCGCAAGCAGGTCGATCGGGGCACCGCTGTGTGTACCGCGACGACCCCCTTTTAGTGCGTACGGTTTTGCTCTATATCGACAGATTGCCGTTTCTGGTGGTGCTTCTCTCGTATCAAGCCCCGAGCCGGATGAATACGTGCACGTGCTTCGCCCGAAGGGTGGTCTGGCCCCTCTAGTTCGAGCTCTCGGTCTAGGCAAGAATTTATTCATAGGGAATGAAGGCACCCAATTCGCCCCACGAGATGTCCCGTCCGTCACGCCTCCGTGGGAAGGCAAGCATTCAGTCCGTCCCGCGCGGTATCCCGTCCCTCACTCACGGCTAGGCGGGTCTTAGTACGGAGGGCGTTCGACGATCCTGTGGGGCGCCGTCTTAGGGCCCTTGATCCGGCTATCGGGTTAGAATGTCCTCGTAGCCAGTGAGGTATTCAACGCAAACGTAATTTGGTTTTTAAGGACGGGCCACGCTTGCCTCAAGATTCCTGCCATGATCCCGTCCAGGCCCGGGGCCTTGCATGTTATCATCCGCCGTATGGCATCTCTTACCTCATCGACCGTGCACGGTTCAACCGGGTCGAACGTCGGACTAAGCACAGGTAATGCCGACTCGAATCTGCCCACATAAACACCGGTCTCTCTATGGATTTCCGCCTGTCCTGCGGTCTCCGTTGCGTCGCTATCCTGAGGGACCAGTTGCTCGAGAAGTCTCTCGCCGGTCTCCCTAAGCGAACACGTAAATGTTCCGTCCATTTTTCTGATGGACACTGGTAATTTCTCCGAGGGCCGTGTTCCCCCAGACTTTAGCCATTTATAGACGGGTCCCCAGGACTCCTCGTTCCCGGTGCCGGTACACTGAAAAAAAAGTATTGTTGGAAGAACTGAAATATAGTATAAATAACTGTGAAATTTAGTTGCCTCAGTGACAACATTACGTTTAGTTAAGTATACAAATTGATTTTTGTTGATAATATATTGTTGAAGGAACAACATATTAAGCACTTGCAACTAAATACATTTGATTATATGTACAAAATAATTAGTTGTAGTAACATAATTAAATATTTAGCATGACACGCTATTTTGTATTAATTACAGAACATGTTTGTATTGATTCAAGGAATTTTTGTTATACTTACAAATTTACTCCTAATTTACAACTAATAATTTTGTTAATAATACTTAAATTTGTAATTGTTGGTATACAATTTTCAGTTACCGCTACAATATTTATTTTGTTAATATAACTCCATTAACCGGTTACATATACAGAATATTTTGTTAGTTAAAATTAACTTTTGTTTGTTATAGTTACAACAATTTTAGTTAATTAAATAATCAAAATGCAGATAAATATACTAAAAAAATAATTGTATTTAAATATTCACAACAGTTAACTTATTAAATAACTTAATATTTATAAACTATTTTAATATAATCTTAATTTTTAAATATTCATACATGTAAAATATTATATAAAAACTAATACATCAAAATAAGCAAGTACAGCAATATATATACATAATATGTTGTGTTTAAAATTAAAAATAAAATACAATTAAACAAATTTTATAATACAAATATAAATATTTTATAATTATAATTTATTATACAGATTCTTATTTCAAGTTTAACTTAATAAACCATGATATATAATATATATTAGACTTAGACATTAGTACAATGTCATAGTTTACAAATTAAAAAACAAAACAAAATTTTTTTTTAACATAGAAAATAATATTAATGATAATAATTTATTTTGTAATTTGATATATTTTACAAAATTTATAAAGGATCACGAACTGTCACATATCTTGTTCCATTTGAAACGACATTTAAAGTGTTTAGTATAGGAGATATTAACGAGTCTTGGAAAATAAAACAATTATTAAATTCATGGATTTTTACTTCATATGCATAAAATTGTTCATCAAACCCTATTGTAGTAAACATACAGCACTCAAAAATATTCTTTCAGATCCATTAAGAAAAATATCTTTTATTAATATAAAATGTGGGTTTTCATCATCTATATCTCTAGTTAATATGCTATTGATTTTATAACGCGTTCCTTTAATTTCAGCCCAACTAACACGAACTAATGATTCGTCATTACTAAGATTAAGTTCAGTTTTAATTTTACCAAGTTTTAAAGAATTTAATATTTTCCTAGATCCAACATTAATTGTGCTACATAATTTGCCCTTATTAAATACTTCTTTTAACTGTAATTGGTGCTTTATAGCCAAACTCATGCAAATGTTACGTCTGTTAAAAGAGGATCTTGCAGAAATTTTGGAAATTCTATGTTTTGCTTCGTAACGCATTGACCATAAGTGAACAACAGGACCATGTTTTTTTATTATAGTGGGATAATGAGTAAGAAAATGAAATTTTGGTTTAAGCACATTTTTACTTAACTTTAAATAAAGTTCATTCATTTCTCCTACGGCAGTCTCTAATAACATACAATTATTTACTTCGTGTGATGTTGATAATGTAATATCTAAAACTCTGCGCAGAGTTAAATAAAGGTCCCAAATTGGCTCTCCTGTTGGCACAAAATCACCAATAAGCAAGCCAAAATACCTAATGAAAGATAACATTTCAGATGCTGATTGTTTCATTTTCCCTACATTTATATGATCCATAGAAATCATGCATGGTTTATTGTTTTCTGGTCCATAATCAAAAGCAAATATCCTGTCATTTAATACTTTTAAAGAAAAAAGTTTTAAATCTTTATGTAGCTTGTTAAAATAAAACTCATAATGTATTTACCACAGCCTTCTAACAAATCATGCATAACGTCTACAGTCTACACCCACTTGATCAAATAAACTGAAATCTGTAACATTGAACCAAATACATTCTTCTTTTAATCCTGTTGCAGACAAATCATTTTTTTTTAAATCATTAAAATACTGTTCGTTACTTCTCAAAAGAGATTTGTCTTCATAACATTTAACTTTTATATCTGATTTTCCCATGGTACAAATTCTACAACAAAAATTAGAGGAAAAGCTTTCCACAAAACCAGTGATTGAATGTATCCCAAGGTTATCCCCCAAAATAAGTCCCAACTCAAAATATAAATTGCCTGTGAAAGATGGAATATCTATATAAACACCATTTTCCATTAGAAAATTAAATTCATCAATTAAAGGTTTAAAAATTATTTTATTTCCAAATTGAACTCTATCAGAAGAATGAAAAAGTAAGACCAAGAAAATGTTTGACAAAGATGTTGAAGGATAAGGTGGTATGCACGGAATTGATACATATACTGCGCCTAATTTATGAATACCCGAATGGCTACCAAGAACATTTCCACTTTCATAATCATCAAAGAACATGAAAAGTGGGAGCACGAATCGTCCTTCATGTTTCTTCATTCTACTTTTCCAGTAGGTGCCCTGTATAAAATTACTTAAAATCCCACTTTCATTTTTTAAACTACACATATAATCTAGTGTTTCAGTTAATATGTTTTCAAGCGAAAAAAATTTTTTTAACACAATTCTAAGTGGAATAAATTGTTCAGTGCAATTGAAAGGTTTTAAAAATGAGATACCACTTTTCATAACAGTGTTTAACCTTTGACCGACTACCTTTTCTTCGGGTTTGATAAATGAACCTTGTTCAGCATAATAAGAGAAACGTTTGTGTTCAGTTTTAAAATTAGTAAATGAATTTTCAATCATATCGAAAATGTTGGTAAAAATACTAAGACATTCCTCAGAAATTTTTCCTTCAAATATCATTTGTTGAACATATGTCTTTAAACAAACAACAATACCCTCGGTGAAAACTGTTTCCATACCATCAACCACAATTTAAACAACATTTCTTGATATAATAGAATTAGCATATAAAATTGAAAGAAAATTACTTATTGTTTTATTCAAAATTTCACTTGGTTCAATAAATTGTTTGTTATTCAAATCTTCAACAGAATCAAAAACAGAATTAAATATAGGTGTAGATTCAAAAGTCAAAATAGATTGATTTTCAAATAATGGTTGAAAAGTGGAAAGCTGTACGAAATCATTTGAGTGTTTTGCTAAATGCTTACGAAAAGAATTTTTTAAGTAAAATGACCTTGTACATTCCGTTTCATTACATTGATAAAAGTTAAATTCATGATTGAAGTGTTGAATATCAAAATGTTTAAAAAGATTTTTGATATTATTAAAATCTTCTTTACATAAAAAACACTTGGGCATTTTTGTATAATGTGATAAGACTATTTAATTACAATTTTAATATTGATAAATTAATTTTTTAACAAATAAAGATGTGAATTATATTGAAATATAAATTCTAAATAATAATAAGTACAATATTACATAGATATTCCTACGTCGGAAAGAAAAGCATTAACAGCTGTTAAGTTTTTGTCAAATTGAGTTTCTAATTTAAATAAACCTTTTTGAATAAAGTGCCAAATCGCTTCACACTCAACTGGATATTCTGCATTAAAAGTTATCATTATTTTAAAGCAACAATCTACTGAATCAATTATGGAATTTAGTTGATAAAATGTATCATCAACAATAACAAAATAGTTTAAAATATTGTTTAGAGAAGGACCAACTATTATAATGAATGGTTGCAAAGTATGACCCAAACCGATAAATTTATTTCTTCTACGGGTTATTGTTTCCTGCACTTCAGCGTTGCTTTTAACATGTGTAATAAATCCATCTCTCACTTCAAGTTTTGAAGGTTTCCATTGAGTACTTGATTTCTTTCCTCTAGAAATTGATGATGTAATCAAGAAAGGGAGACTTAAAAAAGCAGCGATATTTGAAGATTCTTCATCATTAACTGTAAATGAAATAATATTAAGTATTAAATATTCTATATGTAATGCATAAGACCAAAATGTAAAATAATCTACCAACCTTCAACGCCCAATTGTATGTATTCTTTTAAAATCTGAATAATTGTAACTTCTTTGGTTTTCTTTAATTTTTCTGCAGCTAATTCAAAAATTCTTTTTTTACACAATGGCAGATTTTGATACAAATTATCAGAATACTTTGGATACACAACATTAAAATCTTTTAAAATCTGTTAACATAAATACTTAGATAAAATTTAAAAAATAAACAGTTTATACTCAATAAACCGTTTATACTCACAAGAAAATATCCTGTTGGTCTTTTTAATGCCGGATATTCAGCCATATAGGAAGCAATAGATTGTCCATCCTTAGACAATTGAATTTTCAAACGAGTGAAAGCGGTTAATAACCAATGTTGTTCAACAAGTGTCCAAGGATCACTTGAATTGCGCAACCAGTTTAAACTTTCTTCAACTGTTGCTTCATCTGCCTGATTCACCAGTGACTGTTGTAGTGTTTCTGGGAGTAATACAGCTGGTGAAGCACGCCCAGATGAAGATGAAGTTGTTGAATTTCTTCTTGATGAACTTATAATTCCAGATTTACGAAATTCTCTTTTACGATTGTTAAGACAATCAAGTAGCTTACCCTTTGCAGCTCATTTTAATCCAGGTCCATACGATAAGTATGGAATGAAATATGTGGGTGTTCGTTCTTTATTGAAGACTAAAGTTATTTGATAAGCAAGCTCTTGCAATCTGAATGAACTAATTCTGGCATTAATATCAGTGCTTAGTTCATTACTAATAATTAAATTACAAAGACGCCTGCGTCCAATGCTGTCTAATAGGCCACTTTTTTGGTAACTAGCTAATAAAGAGTTGCCCTCATTAGAAGTTTTAAGCAAATCTAACAACTTCTAAAAAAAAAATAACAACTATAATATTATAAACTAATATTTTTAGAACACATTAATTACTATTGTTATATATATTTATAAATAATATTTAATGTTTTAATTTATAATACATAAAACATATTAACGCAATCAACAAAAAACATTTATCTGGAATATGAAATAATATAATAATTTTTTAAGTATGATGTAGCCAAAAATATTTCATATCTTAAATACTTACAAGTTTTTGTGATTGTTGTACTTCAGTTGTATCCTCAGTTGCCTCTATTTTGTGTGCTTCGTTTGTTTCGTCATTACTAATGACATTTTTTAGTGTTTCAAAATATAACTCAACATTTTCAAATGACTAAAATTAAAAAAAATAATAACATGTCAAAGATTTTTGCTAAAAAAATAACTGTTATACTAATGACACAAACAATAACCTAATAAACAAGTATGTTAGGTAACAAATATATGGTACCTAAATTTAATAGGTATTTATTATTTGTTTAATATCTTTATTAGTAAGATATATTTTTAGTTAATTTTTATTTCTTCAGATATTTTTTCCAGTTATATTATCCTATATATATTTTTTAAATTCACACACATTTAATTTAAATTCTATAATAAAGACTAATTTTAGCCAAATTCTTACTTCTGCAGATGAGGTAGTACTACTTGTACTAGGTCCTAATGAACTGTCAATTAAAACATCACTGGAGGATAGTGATTGATTAATCTAAAATATAAATTAATGAATAATATTTATATAAGATTCAATTACTGTATGAATATGAAAATTATATTTTAATAATTCAAATATTATAGTTTATACCACGCTTGTATTTGTGTTTGGTATTCCTTGAATTATCGTTTTCCACTGTTCTAAGTTTGAAATAAATCTAGCTCTGTGTCCTATCATAGGAATTAACTCTTTAATCATTTCATTCGTTAAGCAAGGAAAAGTCTCGATATCAATTTCATTTTCTATGAAAAAAAATAATAAATTTATGAAAAATATTTGATATACGTTTTGAAATTATATGTTATAATAGCATACAGCCATATAGGTAATATAAAGTGAAAAATATACTAATAATTATTATAGAACTCGTAATACACTATTTTAAAGGTGACATGCATTGTAGCGAAAGATAGTACCTATTGACTTAATACTATAGAGTTAGTTTAAATTTCATTCGTAATATTTTTATTAAACTTACCTTGGAAAAGTTCAATATATTGTGTAAGATCCCACGCGGTTAATAAGTCAGCTACGTCCGACATTTTTAAGATATAAAATATTAGTAATAACACTAATAACTTATTAGTATACACTATACAATATAAAATATAGGTATTGAGTAATAATTATTAAATTATGAGTACACTGGTACTTATGGTATACTGTATACACTTAACACTTTACACGAGAAAAATTAAAATATACGATCACGAATCACAAATTAATCGTTTTTGATCCACGAGTAACGAGTTTAATAAAATAAACATTAAACGATGTAGGTACTGCCATTGATTTTATAATATAATATATTATATAATTATAAAATCAATGGTACTGCTAAATAGTGCTAAATGCTAATAGCAGTAATAGGTACGTGGTTGTAAAATGAATTTCGGCCATTCCGGGAAATACGCCTGATGCAATAATGCCTCCAGAAATCCCGCTATTTTTAGTTTTTACCAAATTATCGTTGACAATACGCTATCAATATTGTTGTGGTTACTACTTATGGGTTGTATAAACCGAAAATATGTTATCTACACCATGAAATGTTTTTCTTAACCAATCATTTTGTAATCGTTACATTTTACAATTGTACAGCACCTATATTTATATTTTTTTTGTGTAAAATGAACTGTACAATTTGCTAACGTTACGAATAGTTTTGTATTATTAACTAAAGCCCACTTGTTCATCTTAAATATTTATTTTTAAGGATACCAAGTATTCCGTTAAAACAAGCATTTTGTTGTATGTGCATAATGAAATGTAATTACAATACACCTTTAGATATGTACAACAAAACACCAATAAACAATAACATAATTGTTTCTTTAACAAATTACTTAGTTACGTGTATCAGTACGTCTGATATAATCGACATTTTTTTGTTTGGGCCTACACTTTATCGTATAACAAAATAATTTTGTGATTTGTAAAGTAATATTTTTTTCAGTGTAACGAAGGAGCGCCAGGCCGTCCGCAGTGCTCTGAAGCAGGCGCGGTTATATCTCCGCTTGAGGTCTGTGTACTTCCTCCTTATGGCTCTCTTTCTGAACGCGTTGCGTTCTGCGCGTAGTTTGCGCTTCCAGCGTCCCAATCGGGCGAGCTCGCTACCGAGGTCCGAGCTCCACCAGAGAGGCGATTTCAGCCGTCCGACCACGGCCCGTCTCATGTGGGTATCACAAGCCGTTTGCAGCACTTCCGAGAGTGCTTTCACACAGGGATCTACGACCGGGCAACCGAGCTCGGCTGACCGTGCTATCGTTAAACTTTTCAAGGTCTTACGGAATGATTTCCAATCAGTTTTTTCCATAAATATCGTTTCCGTACGGCATTACCCGTGGAGGGAAGGGCGTTCTGGCTGCACGCAAATTTAAAGCTGATCACGTCGTGATCGCTTGATGTCAAACCGGGTATGAACCTCCAGTCCGTCACCCTACGCTCCACCGAGGGCGACGCGAGTGTGACGTCTAGGTTGGCTGACCCTCTATTCATGAATGTCCTAGGTTGGTCCGGCTGATTCAGCACGGACAGGCCCTTTTTACTTATCAATTCCACGATTACTTCGCCCCCGTCGTCCGAGACTTCATCGTGCCACACCGTCGACCGCCCGTTAACATCCGCACAGACAAGCACGGCGCCGCGGATCTAGTCCAGGACGGACCCGAGCGCGTCGGTGTGTGTCTGGGTGGGGTCAGAGAACTGGAAGTATGAAAATACTACCGTCAAGCTGACATGTCCCATGGTGAGCTTGCCCGCGGCCAAGTGGGGGGTACAGAGATGTCTAAGGGCGAGGACTCCTATGGCCGGGTTCGCGTTA